CAGATCGAGGAATTCTGTGTTAGGCCCCACACAGGTCTCAGGTGTACACAGAACAAATCATTGCATGCACCTCCCCAGGCTGCAGTCACCAGGCCACTTCACCAACATATAGCCTCCCCCAGAATGCACCACTGACATGAACCTCCTACTGGTGACTAGAAGAGACATAAATGCTCAATAGCACAAGGTTGTCACCACCCCTATAACTATGGTACTGAGTGCAAAACCTAGGGGAGAGACCAAGTGAGAAAAACTACAAACTGGCATTCGCAAACTACTGCCCAGGAGGGCTAAACTTTGAATATGCCTGTGATGACAGGGTGGCTACATAAATTAGCTTGGATAAAATTAATGTCTATTGGGGAGCTGCAGCATGGTGCAGTGGCAGTAAAAACACAGAGTCTGGGTGTAGGTAAACTCAGAACTAATATTGCAGAGAATACCAACTACAACCAACCCAGTGGGAGAGCACAGCTTAGAGTAACACTCAGTCAGGGGCAGACTGACAACTCATGCGGCCCCTGTGTCCTTGCCCAAACTCAAAAAAGCCTATGAAAAAAGGTACCAGGGGCAGCTCATGGGGCCCCCTACTGACCCGGGCCCTCGAGCAGTGCCCGAGTTTCCAAATGGTCAGTCCGCCCCTGCTCACAGTTCAGTTCTTTGCAGAGAGGCAGAAGGTAAAGATAGACCGACAGCATCTGTCTTCAGAGGGTGGAATGTGGCCTGGCTAGTCTGGTACCAAAGGGGAGGCTACCATGAAGGATTGCAAGTCCCTAGCCTGTCCCTACTCATCTGGAACCTTTCCCTGACGCTATCACTTTGCCTGACATGACAGGCAGGTGCTCTAGGCCTTCACAAAATGCACGCTAAAACCCTGATGCAGGAACTTATAAAGGCTCTGCTGACCCACGATGGCTGCCAGGGGTCACCTGGATGCAGCTTAGCTGACCGTAACGCTGCCTTCATAGTTATGGCTATTTATAAAGAACGAGGTATTATATATTTTTTATTCACATTGGAAGCAATTGGTTAGCAGTGCATGTTGATGTAGAATGTTTGCAAGATAGACTAAATGAAAAACATGTCATTCTTTGAATGAATTGCGCTGAGATTGTATGTACAGTATCTGTAGAACGATGTTTGTGCTCAAACATAATAATCAAATACTAAACTCAATCGCTGTTCATAAAAAGCAAGAACACATTTCTTATCCTCGGATTCTCAAAAGTGTTTCTGACACATTACACTGCTTCACATCATTCCTGTTTTGCTGGAATATTACAATGATCTTATCAAAGTAAACAGCTCCTAACCTAATCCTGCCCCCTCTCTCTGGCTTTTATTACCCTGAGATAACTCAAATCCCTTTGATAGATCTGTTTCTAAATCCCTTAATTCCTTATACAAAGGAAGAGACATTTGTTCTATTTCCTTGAGCTGAAATCTGTAAGTAAGTGTGATCTTTGCTCACCTACCATTTGCTGTGTGTGATTAACTCATGCAGAGATTTGCTATTTTTACCTATGGCACTCCCAAGAAGAAATAGTTTTAGTCCTCTAATTGGGAAACTACAGGTATTATGCAATTAATTAATCATATTATACACTGTGCTACAAGGGTGACTTGTTTTGTGCTCCTTCTTGTACAAACTGCTAGTGAAATCCATTCTGTAAAGTTACTGGATAGGAGTGCTATTGGTCACAGGTAAGTCCTCCTTACTTGAGAGGACTTGTGAGTCTCATTTAACGTGTACAATTCAGATTGGCAGTCTTTCCATTTATTTTTTTCTATACAGGTAGTAGAGAACTCTCCATCTTCATAATAATTTCTTGACACCTTTCCCACATCAATTTTCTTATTCCTATATGTGCTCAATAAACTATTTTGTAGATAGAGTGTGTTGAGATTTTCTATTCCGTTTCAAATATCTTTCTATGCAGAGGCTGTGGATGTTCAGAATGCAAGCAGCAATTAGACATATGCATTTCGTTTCATTACGATTCGATTTAATTTTCTGAGATTCAAATGTATAGTAACGAATGTCAATTAATCCGAAAAAAAGTTACACCAAAATGAACAGATGCATTTGCTTCATTCGGATGATGTCACATGATGCAATGCTAGTTAGGGCCCATGGAGAAATAACTTAAATGTTTTAATTAATTAGATAATTTGGATTTAGATAATCCAAATTTGATTCCATTTGTTAATTTGGATGCACATGAGGCCAGTTGATATTGTCCAACCAGCTCATGCCATTTCTTTTGGTAGGTTGGACTAGCATCCGAACACATACTGAATCCTTCTGATTGGAATCCGTCTGACTCAATAATTTATTGAATATATAGCAATCTTCCAGAAAAACTGCAACATTTTTCAAATCCACTTGGACCAACGAATATACAAAACAAATGCCAAAGCTACGAAAGGAATTCCAAAAACAAATCAGTTCAACATAACGAATATGATGAAACAAAACAAAACAAAAATTTCCGGTGTGCACATGTCTAGCAGCGATGGTACAAAGTGACTTAAGATAGAAATTACCCGAACCAATCAATTTTGATTGAATCAAGTGATGATTCTTGTGTCTATAGGCACCAACAGAAAGCACTATGCACATTCCACACACTGTTCTAAGTAATTTTCTGTTTTATATAATTTCAGCCAATTCCTATTGTTCTTGCTGAGATAAGTCAGTGCTGGAGGTGCCTGGCTTCTCTCTCCATCCCTGTTAAGTGGGTGAATATTTGGGGGAACCAGACCATGTTTGTGGCAATCTGTGATACAAAATATTTGCTGATCAGTTGCTGATTGCAGATGTATCCATACCTTAGCGTCTAGATCCAGTTCCTACTTTAGCAAAATACATTGGATGCCAGTTGGATCGTGTCTGGTGATCAATAGTGAAGCAATTAGTTATAAAAACCTTTTTAATAAGCAGGAGTTTTCATGTTGATGTGTGTTACTTATTGCGTCAGCAAACGCTGTAGCACCTGTGACTATTAATTTTTCTATGGGAAGCCAAAGCACCAATTCAATGTACCTGACCCATGACACATGTTTTCAGATGTATGCCTTTGTGATGCACTGAGAGTCATATTTCTGGATTACTGCATGTATGTGCATTGGAGCCAATTAGTAACGAATAGAAGCACACCAAATAGTGGAAGCTGATTATGTCAGTGGGTGGAAGGGACAAATGAGTGACAGTTAACCATGGAACATTGGGAGGGGCAGAGAAGGCAGAGTGGCAGGAGGTAAGCTGTGCACCGATCTAGGGCAAGAAAAATGAAGAAGCATAATTTATAATCAAGAATAAAAGAATAAACGAGAGTAGGCAATGGGATCTGATCATGGACAGGTAATAGAAGATGCTGAGCATGATAGGATTATGGAGCATTTATAAACTGATTCTTTATAAATAGCACACTCCTTTGCACCAAAGCAACCTACGCACTGTGCCGAAGCAACCCACCTGCTGCAACACACAGGGCTAGGTGCTATTTCATATGTGCTAGAGCACGGGTGTCAAACTGGTGGCCCTTCAGCTGTTGCCAAACTACAAGTCCCATGAGGCATTGCAAGCTTGACAGTTACAAGTATGACTGCCAAATACAGAGGCATGATGGGACTTGTAGTTTTGCAACAGCTGGAGGGCCACCAGTTTGAAACCCCTGTGCTAGGGCATGTTGGCAGTCCACTCAATGCAGTGCATGTTAATGTGCAACGTGATGTTTGTGAAGATATGACCTCCCATGTAACAACCTGTTCCTTGAATGTTCACTCTGTTTCAGAACAAAACTGCCAGAAGAATCTTTCCATCAAACACACCTCCAGGTGTGCTGGTTGCACGTCTTTCCCACTGTGTACTGTGGCTCAACCCATTGACCTCTAAGGCACTGCAAAAGGCACCCGGTCAAGGATGACAATCATCATGTGAGTAGCTTCACAGGGCTATAAATCATCATGTGCTATGAGCAGATAATCATGAAACACTATCTTATATATAAATAGTGACCTGCTTAAAGAGAGAAAAATAAGATAGGAAGATATTCATTGATATTAGGCTAGTTACAGATACAGCATCTTATTCATCTGCATTACCACCAGTCTCATTAAGCACTGCACAGGAGACAGGAGTGTATAAGTAAATTAAAGTGTTTATGTGAGTTGTTTTTTTTTTTTTAATGCAGCTAAAACTCCAACAGTGATTCCTTGGTGCCATTCCCTGCAAGGGCTAAACATAGTCCAGCTCTATATTTGAGCTTAATATGACAGCTCTGTCTGATCGTACAGGTATTTTAGAGCAGAGCTGAGATGGGATAATTGTTCTGTGTAATCCCTCTCTGTTGTGTAGAAGCAGTTTTGATATCAGACCCTTTCCCAACACACAATGCCCATCGCACAATCTGCCTAGCTCCCCAGATGTAAAAAGCAGATTTTTATTTTTTTTTCCCAAGCTCTGCTTGGATTAAGGAGATCTCAGATGCACAACTCACAGTGAACAAAACCGCCTGAGATTAGAGGGCCAGTTATCGTATTCACTGGGGTTTAGCATTTCTGTCCGGGGATTACAGGAGCTTTTTTTTCTCACATAAAATAGTTTGAGTTATAAAGTGGCAGCTTTAGCAGAATGAAATAAAGGTATTTAAAATTACAGAAAAATCAAGCAATGAAAAGAGACACTTTAAGCTAAAAGTATTAAAGGTAACAGGGGTCTCTCTGTGAGTCCGCAAGATGAGGTGTTTTATAAGAGCAGGAATCATAGCACTGACAAACGGAGGACAAGAAGCAATGCAGAAACAAACTCCCACCATGGCACCAATCAAGCAAAATGCTAAAAACAAGAGTCAACGACCCTTCTCTATTGAAAGCATCCTATCTCTTCCTACACCTGAAATAAAACAAAAGATTGACAGTTGTCAGCAGAGATCAGTGTGGGCACAGAACAGGCAAAGCCCAGTGACTACTTCTCAAGACGATCAACCTGTGGCTGTATGCAGCTGTTGTTGTTGTGTACATTCCCATCACCAATCTGTTCAGGATCCTTCATGGCTTGGTAAGTATTACATTCTATTACACCAGCAGAATACAATTTATAGTAAACCTCTTATTGAAAGAAATGCAAAGGCTGCAATTGCTAACCTTCTTCTGAAAATGCTAGTTGTCTGCATTTCTATGGTTTTATTATTTTCTGAGTTGGACCAGTGAGCATGCAGTTGCAGAAGTAAAAATAAAGTGAGTCACCTAATCGCCATATTTGTTCCAGGATCATGGTCTTGACTCAAATTATAAAAGCTTTTGGTCAATTACTGCTGACCTTCTGAAAATGTTAGTTGCCTGTCAATCTCCAGTTTCATTACTTTCAGTCAGACCAGGAAGAAATATGCAACAACAGAAGTCAAAATAAAGTCAGACTACTGATCTCCATACTTGTTCCAAGTTTTGGTTTTCTTCCATGCCTAGGCCTTGTCTCAGTTTATTGAAGTTATTGGTCAGCTATTGCTGACCTCCTTCTAAAAATTCTAATTGCTTGACTATCTCTAGTTTCATTAGTTTCTGAATCAGACCAGGAAGAAGCATGCAGCAACAGAAGTCAAATGATCTCCTTACTTGTTCCAGGTCTTTGTCTTATTCCAGGTCCAGGTATGAACTCAAATTGCTAAAGCTTTTGGTAAGCTATTGCTGACCTTCTTCAGAAAAAGCTAGTTGCCTGACTATCTCTAGTTTCATTACTTTCTGAGTTAGACAAGGAGGAAGCATACAGAAACAGATATTAAATTGGTGTCAGATACTTGATCTCCATATATACTCCAGGTCTTGATTTTGTTCCACATCTAGGTATTTTTGAAGTTATTTGTCAGTTATCACTGACCTCCTTGTAAAAGTGCTAAATGCCGGACTATCTCTAATTTCATTACTTTCCGAGTCAGACCAGGAAGAAGCATGCAGCGAAAGAAATCAAAATAAGGTCAGACACCTGATCTCCATACTTGTTCCAGGTCTTTGTCTGGTTCCAAGTCCAGGTCATGACAAATTATTAAACCTATTGTTCAGTTATTGCTGACCTTCTTCTGAAAATGCTAGTTGCCTGACTATCTTAAATTATTAACGCTACTGGATTATTTAGTCAGCTGTTTATTGGAACATCAGTATATTTTCCTCACTCAACTGTTCTTTTGACCATTTTATTTCAGCCACACAATTCCACTGGCCCCTCCAAGTGCTGCACACACACCATCTCTGAAGATGGGGCAACACTTGTCCAGAAGACTGCTCAAGGGATAAATGCATTTCCACTCAACCAGCGCCGGACTCGTCGTCATCGTACTATATTTACAGAAGAGCAATTGCAGGCTCTGGAGGAAACCTTTCACCATAACCAGTACCCAGATGTGATTGCTCGGGAACAGCTGGCAGGACGAATCCAACTAAGAGAAGAGCGAGTAGAGGTAAGATAAAGGAAAATATTTATAATTTTCAACATCATTTTTAACAGAACAAAAACACGCAAGACAGTTTAAAATATCTTTAGGGACATTGGTGGGATCTCTGTGCTTGAGTTCAGACATGTCCATAGCTATGTGTTGCTATTATGCACTCTTTATTTGGCAATTTTTATACTTATGAAGCAAAACATTACAATGAAACATCACAAAGTATAGATAACACATCATCAAAAGCTGTCGTAGTACCTGGTGTCTGGGATCTGTAAGTGATCCCAAGGCTGCATAGGAACTTCTGCCAAGAATGAAGTATTGAAATGGAATCCATACAGAAAAAGGTCACCAGCAGAAGAACGGGAAGGCAGGAGGACAGAATGGGGGCTCAGTCAAGCAATAGGGATAGGAGTCTGGGGACAATGCAGGAGGGAATGACAAATAAGAAGTCAAGAGAACAAGCAAGAGGAGTCAGGGGGTATGTCCATTTTGATAAGTTCTAACTCTAACCATGTGATGTTTTATTTACTTTATATTATGGAGAATGCAAAATGAGAGGCTGGGAGACTTAAAGTGTTAGTAAAGCCACAACAGTAAGAATAGTCTGTGTATGCAGTAAAGCATGCTTGTTATACTCATTGTGGAACCTGAGGGGTTAATCCTCTGCATTGTGTAAAAAGGCTGTTTGATTTTATCTTCTCTGATACTCCCCTTCTTCTACTGTCCCCAATCCATCTGCTTATAGAACAGAACCCTAGGCGTCACTCTGCACATGCTCAGTTTGGTGTGTACTGCTAGTAAGTTTTTTTTTGCATGTGTTCAGCACAGGACCAATCAGTACTGTCCAGACAGAGGGTCAGGGGTCATGCAGCATCATAGAACAGTCAGAGAAGAATGACAACTCCTCCTACAAGCTTTAACTAGAGCTCAGCTGGATACTGATAGAAGTCACAACACTTCTATATATTGTTGATGAGAAAAGGTATTTAGTTAAAATAATTGCATTTCCATGTACCGTGGGAGACCAGATATAGTGAATGCAGGATAATAGGTTTAGTAATACTTTTAAGGTGGGTGGGAACATCCTAAATTCCCAGTTAGACAAAAAGAGAGTTATGAATTATAGAAGAGAAATTCTGTTGTTGGAATATCTAGAAAGTACAGTATAAGAAGTCAAGGACTGACCCATCCCATCAAGATCCACAAATAACTAAAATATTGCCATTTAATAAAAGTTAAGATGAGTGTGGGTTGACCAAAGTATAGCAAACTCTCATGAGCTTATTAATTTTTCTTGTAACCCAGTTTCAATATTTGCTGCAAAGATAATTGGAATACTGTTGATCTGCCAGAAATGCATTCAGCCCCCAATTTTCATGTTGTGGTCTGACAACACAGTGCCTTTTTTCTGGACTGAAATCACTGAAATCTAGACTGAAAGTAATGGCACTAGTCCTGCCCAGTGGTTTTATAACCCTTTCACTTCTGTGCTATATAGGTGAAAATTGTTCTGTAGTTAAAGATAAGTACTGTAGAGGGTTATTAGACCCCTTGAGATAACACAGAAGTGTGGAGAGGACTGAGGAAAGCCCTGAATTTTTGATATGATCCCTGGGTATATTTTGTGCACTTTTTAAAACACCTTTGATGTATATTTGAGCAAAACTGAGCAATCAAGTTCATTGTTGAAGTTTTTATCCACTTTAACGTAATTCTTACAATTCTACTTGCCTTTAATGAATTTAGGACCCGTTCACACCATATGCGGTGCAGGAAACACGTTTCCTAGCGCATTTCCCGCACCGCATGGGAATGAACTGCCCTTGTTAGATAAGTGCAGGTGCCATTAATTATTAAGGGCACATCAAACACACCTAACAAAAACAAGCATTTGTGGCCACCAAAATGCATGGAGGATCCAAGAGCGCAGACGGAGGACCCCAGAAGAGGAAGCAAGGGGCGGCTCTGCAATACCACTGTACAGAGAAGGTGAGTATAACATGTTTATTATTTTAATTAGAAAAAAAATGCCTTTGATAAAACGAAGTTTTGGATGTGATGGAGAAGTTTTACTGGGAAGCTGACAACAATAAAAAGCTTCCTCTGATTGGCTGAGTCAGAAGAGCAGGCTGATGATATCACACTCTCCAAGTCAGCCAGTCAGAGGAAGCTTTGTGTTTATTCACAGAATACAAAGCCACCTATGAATGTCTGAGTACTGCTCCAACTGACTCTGCATTGTTCCAGATGTGAGATGGGAAGTCTCTGTCTCACAGCCGGAATCCAGCACTGTGTACTGTATGTAGCTGAAGCTACATGCAATACATACAGCGCTTACAGCCAATGCAGCACTTAGTGAAGGAAATAGTTTGTTTGGACCAGCTTGGTCCAAACTATCTATATGACAGGAAACATGGAAATCAGCTTTAGGTTTAGTATGCTGTTAAAGGAAGGAATGCTTACTGTGCTACTTACCTTTTAAAGAAGAACACCAGGATCTTTAATGCAAACTAACATTGGTCCAGCTTGGCACAAAATGATTATCCAATGCTTGTATCTGGAAGGATGCTGGGGATGCTGTACACCATTGTAGTAGCCCGTGCTACATCCATTGAAATCTGCGATCTTCTGTGTTCTGTGATGAGTGGCTTCCATGTGCACACTGAGCACAGGTTGTTGCTTTCTTGGCACTGCCACCATTCAGAGAACACCTTGAATTTTTTTTAAATCAAAACAATGTGTTCTATGATTGGGAGAGGGTGGATTGTGTCGTCATCTGCCATTCCTCTTTACCTCATCCAATTAGAGATTGGAAATACAAGGCATTCTCTAAATGGTAGCAGTGCTGATCAAGTGAACCCATGTGTGCAGGGGGAATCTGGTCAAGCAGGATCTGAAAGATCTCAGTGCTGGCTTCCTACAACTTATCTCTGCTCTACAGAAATATTAGGAGATGAGAGTCACAGTCATTGTAAACTCCTCTTGGTGCTTTATTCCATAGTCCATAAACAAGCTGTACACAGATTGTCTCCACCCGAAGAAACACACTCCCTATTTTTTTATAGACTATGGAATAGAGTGCAACTCTCATTTTCTCAGATTTCAAGGTTTGAACCATTCCATTATTCTATCTGAAGCCAAAAAAAGAAAAAAAATTGGCTTTACATACACTTTGAGAAATAACTAGCTTAGCAACCAAGCTCACCCTAGACAACTCTAAGATAGTATTTTGTGTTTTTTAAAATAACATATGCATGTAGATTAAAGTGGTTGTAAACCATCCTTACATTTACCAACTGATATGACCAGCCTCAAGTGATACACAGATATTAAAAACATCCTTCTACATAAGTTGTACCTGTTTATCTCCAGCCATCTCCTCTATACAGCCTTCTAAATCACAAAGATCAAAGGCTATTTCTCAACTCTAGAAGGCAAGGGACAGGGATCTGACATGATACACTGTGCAGCTTAGAGCAGCAGCTGAGTGTAATCTGAGATCTTAGTGGAGGGAAAGGACACACCCCTTCTACAAAATCTCATAGGGGAACATGCACAGCTAAAGCTGTAAATCACCTTCTCTGTGCTGGAGGGGGGCAGGGCCATCTCCCGAGATTCTGTGGCATTGGGATAAACTGTCAGAAGTGAATAATGCAGATAAGAGAGGAAAGCGAGAGGAGACAGAAATCACAATCGGTGCCTCAGATTGAGGCAAGTACACACTAAAGAAGGATATGCTCTGTTCATATTTTTACAACATTTTTTAATGTATGTTAGATAGTAATGATTACAATTTCAGAGAAAACTGAGCATATATGGAGGCCTAAAAAACAGACTGAGCTTTATTAGTTTGAAAGATAGTATTTTGCTTGACAGAAGTCCTAGATCATAAACCAGTAATAACTTTTCTTTTTGGAACTTAGGTATGGTTTAAAAACCGCAGAGCAAAGTGGAGGAGGCAAAAAAGAGTCACAGCATCTGTTCTCGTCCTCCAAGGGAAGAAAAACATGGATGACTCTTGCTAGTAGGCAATGCCACGATGTGGAAGCATAAATAATACCTTTTCTCTTAACTGCTAAATATTTTCTAAGATTTAGATCATTGTACATTGTACCAAATATAATAAACATTTACTTGATGCCAATTCTGTTTTCTATGGAATATTAAATGTAAAAGATGGATTTTGTGAATCTATTTTCTGTGTTTTTTTTTTATTGGCAAGTGCCATTTTGGAAAGAATAACATTACAGATCGCACAGTGGTTTCATCGGTGTGCTTGTGCCTTGACTATTTGCCAAGCAAACTGCTTTAGGATTATAGTGATAAACGCCCTTTATACTACATGATAAAATAATTCCTTAAGTCCCCCTGGGGTTTAATTTAAGAAAAAAAAAGCTCTGGCTGCAATACTCAACTACCTGACACTGCAATCCTCTTCTCTGCCGCAAAAAGTAACCAGTCTTTTGGGATTGAATCATGTGCAGAAGACTGAGGACATACAGTGAATGCAGGATCCCTGATGCACCCTATCATTACCTTATGGCGCCTTACCAAGGATCTATGTACTTACAGTACATTGATGAAGAGAGCAGAGCTGGCCTCATCCCATCAGCATTGTGATGTATATTACTGAGGACTGCCCACTGCTGGGAGAAGATATGAAGAAGAAGATGATCATGCCTGTTAACATAAAACAAAAAAAGTATAAAGTGCACACAAAGAGTGTGCCAAAATCTGGAGAAAGAAAAAAGGTTTAATCAGCCCACAATGCACTTGTTAATTTAATAGCTTTGTTTTTCATAGTGATATATACTGTAATGGCACAGGAAAACTTAAGGAATAAAGTAATTTTTTTTTACAGTTCTCTGACCCCCAGGGGCAAAGTACATACAATACATAGCAAGGAGAGTGCTGCATTGCTAGGTGACATTTATCTCTGACTCCAAGCACTTTTCCAAGAAAAGCACTGGCAAAAAGAATGCACATGGACAAGAGGCTGACACGACCCCCTCCCTCTGCATTCATCAAGCTAGCACTGAAGTCTGCCTACCAGGTAAGATGTGGACCCAGGAAATCAGGACCTAAAGCTCTAAAAGCCTCCAGACTTCAGTACCCAGAACAGAACCTTTTAAGAAAAATGTTGTCTTTTTTCTCAATATCCATCATAAACCCTGGGACCCTCACCATATGAAGAACCCAGGTGGCACATACTGTCCACAATCCTGACAGATAATTCATTATATATCCTCCTACTCCAATCAGACTTGTGGTAAGGAGCTCATTTTACCAACATGTAGTGAATGCATGACAGTCAATCAGCATTCTGTTGATGGGTCCCTGGCCAGAGGTCTACATAAAATATAAAATCTTGCAAAGCCAGAAACCATCTTGAGACCCTTGCATTGTTCCCATTGTTTCAAGCCATCCAATGTAGTAGGGAACAGTCTGCAGTCAATTGGAACTGTCTGCCCAAAGGTTAAGACTGTAATACTGCAAGACTAAAGGCAAGAGCCTATATTTCTTTCAATACAGTTCTCTTTTAGGACCTGTGTCAATAGACAAATGCAGCTTGCTTTTAGTTGCATTCTGTTTGCATTTACCATCTCTAAGCAGAGTGACTGTGAACCTTGTTTCTATTACATATGTAATTCCCTCTAGTGTAGAGAGGTTTTTTTTGTGGATAGCTAGAGGCTTGCTAGGAGCCTGGGTGTGAGTCAGTAAGGTTACTTAAGGTTAGGGCTGGAGGACTCTAGAGGTCAGTCCTCTGGTACCTCTCCTGGCTCTAGGGACTTAGAGACGTTTCTAGAAGCCAGTAGGTGGGGAGGGGCTGATCTGCATATTTATGGCATTCACTTCAATCCCAGACAGGAGGCCTGGCAGTGTGGGAGATCAAGCCATAAAAATTATAGAACCTAGCCAGCAAGAGGAGTTGAGGCGGGGTGGAAAATTAAGTGAGGAAGTGCTGCTGGTGTGGAGCCTGGAAAGGGGCCCCATTAGAGGGGGGGGGGGGGGTCTTCCTACAAGCTGGGAGCTTGAAAGAGGGATCTCCACTGTTCCACAGTCTGCTGAAGAAAGACAGCCTGACAGAGAAAGAAGCCAGCCCAGCATAAGGTGTGAAAGCAGCTTCAACTTTAAAGGTACAAGATCAGGACAGCACGAGTACCTCTACACCCTCTGGGCCTAAAAGGGAGAGGGCAGTCAGGTGCCATACCCAGCTAGTTCTCCCTGGGATGGCATTCTTATGTGTCTCAAAATCCATTGCCCTGGGATATTCTACATGACATTCATCTGGGGTCTGAAAAAGGTTCATTTAAGGGGACTGAGTGCTCCTAGTAGTGTGCTGATCCGTTAAGAGGCAGAAGCCACTCCAGAGGGAGTAGAAAGTCCAGGATTTAAGTTTGTTGCTTTTTGTACATATGAAGTTTGTCCTCCAAGTTGTTTCAGTTCCATTAGGCATCCCATATACTCCTAGAGCCCATGCAAGTTATTTGACCCCTAATAATACAACAAAACCAAGCTCATGGACTGTTTACTGACTTTGTATGCAAGAGTGGAAAATGCATGTTACCTGGCTGTGCATGAAAATAGAGGGACCCAAAACCAGAGGGTATCATTACACATATCTGTCAGCTTTTATTTGTTCTGCACAAGGGAGCCATTGACTCAATTACCTCCAAATTGCATCAGTTTAAGATCAAAGTGGATGAGAACTGCATGAGTCTAATCCAGCATTTTTCAACCATTTTAACCTAGAGGAACCCTGGAAATATTTTTTCTCAGAGAAACCCTACTAAAATTATCTAAAGCTCATGGTACATTGGCAAGATCAAGTTAAATGCCTCTTGCTTTAAATGATAAAATCAATGTCAGTAATAAAAAGGTTGGGAGAACCACAATCGGGCTCAGGGTAGGATTTCTGCGCTGTTCCTAATTTTGAGATATGGATTGCGTGCACGCCGGAAAAATAATTACACGGACAACTGTCCAGTACAACCACTTTCACATCATCTCATCTCTGTTTATTGCAGGGCGGTGCTTAACCTTTTATACATAGAAAAACAATAGAGTACACGTCACTATTACGTATATACAGTCACATTCTGAAAGGCACATTTTGCTTGGTTGAAATATAGGAGAAATGTAGAAACTTGATGCTTGCTTCTCATCCCGTTATCTTTCACTCCCCTTCACATTCCCAAAGTCTAAGTGAAATCATCTCAGTGCGGAAGGTCGAAGGGAGGGGTTGAGAGCATCGCGCTCTGAGCAAAAACAAGTTAAGGAGGACTGCAAAGCCCAGCAGACAAAATATATATATATATATACTCACAACACATATATTTAGAAATATAAAAAAAGTATAAAAAGTAAATATGTGTATAAAATGTATATTTTAAACAGAAAAACAGAATAGGCATTTACCAAATCCATCACAGTCCCCCCTTAAAATGACTATTTTCCTCTGTCCCTATAAAGCCTAGCTCATCTGTCCTTATGTACCTTGGAACTCTTTTATGACTGCACGTTAGACAAGTGATGACTATTTCATCACCCCCCTTGCCACAGACTTTTGTACATAAGGAAGTCAGATGCTATCCCTACAAAATTGTGAAATTTCTGTTGACAGGGAGGGACTGTAGAGGAGTGAAAGGTTTATCCTCTTCCATCACAAAAGGGTCCTCCTCTTCTTGATGGAGAAATGTAGGTGTGCTGTTGTCTACAACCTTGCTTATTAACTTCTTTACAAATAATAGAATACAACATACAATCAGAGCTAAAAGAACTAGAATTATTAATACCATTACACCTATTTGGGCGAGCACTTTTTGTCACCCACTCATCCAGCTAAAATATTGATCCCACAGGTCTGAGATACCTGAGTTCTTCTTCAGCTCCACTGACAGATCTTCTAATTTTTTTATAGCCAGAGTAACCTTACCATTCGGGCCAGTATTGTCAGGAATATATGCACAACATGTTCCCAGTTCCTTCTAATCATTTTACAAACACCTCCTTTTTTCCGCTAAAATCATGTCCAGAGCCATCCTATTCTGGAATTGTCATGTAGGATGTAGGGGCTAACTGGTCAACGATTTCCTTGGAGGGCATCTCTGGTGTAATTCACAAAAACTCTGTTGGTTGTAGTATATGTAATCTATCCAATCTACATTTTTATTAACAGTTATTATGGGGATCAAAAATTCGAAGCCTGCTTTTACTTGGTCTCTTGCTTTGAATTTATTAGGCACCCCCCTTGGGACTCCAATGGCATCTATATACACTTGTGGGTCAAAACTACCAGAAGGAGCTTTTCGCTTCCTCCTACGGCCAGGCGTTGGGTCAGGGGGTAATTCTCTGCTAGGATGTGGGAGAGGCATATGACCTTTGCAAGGGCATACTCACCAGTCCAAATCCCTTCTAATCTTATTCTAATCTTTTGGTCCCCAGTAATCATCCATGACACATATGTATACCTGGTCACTACTATCGGAACATGCTCGTTGTATTAAGATCATATAGATTATGGTCATATGCACCACATGGGATCTATACTACAGAAATCAAAGGTAAAAATAACTACATGAGTGTTTGGAATGAGTTGTACCAAAAATATAGTGGTGTCGCCTATTTCGGTGATAACCACCTGTTGAGCCCTCTGTCAGACTTATAATAAAAAGGATATACAACATAGTTGTCATGGTGTAGATGACTCCTTTTCCTCAGGGGTTTGGACATTCTTGCAGTGGGAGGCGTGTATCCAAGTGTTCTTCTTCCCGGCCACCTTGACAGAAGTGGCTGTGGTCAGCAGAACTTGGAATGGACCATTATATCTTGGCTCAAGGGAATGTTTCCTCATAAATGTCTTTACTTCAATACCCAATCTCCGGGTAATAGGCTGTGAGTTCCTGTATCTGACTCAGAATCTGGAATGGAGAAAACACTTGGACATAGATATGGGTTAATTCACGTGATAATACAGTCACATAATCAGTTAACAACACATCAGATTGTAATTGCAACTGTTGCG